TATATATATATATATATATATCCTATATATTACTATTTAAATATACCGCCATTTTTAGGAATATGTACAGTATCAGTGAGTATTCGTAGGAGACTTTATGTGTTTATTATTAATTTGTTAAGCTTTATCACATTTAATCTTTATCAGATTTGTATATAAAGAAAAATATTATTAATAAAAATGTTAATTAATTATATTAAATTTTATTCAACACAATTAAGAGTAAAAATTGTTTGAGTTTATAAAAAAAAAAATGTATCTTTTTTAAAAAGGCTTATGCGAATATATTAAAAGCTTGTAAAATAGTTTTTACTCTATAATTAAATATATTTTATATCACAAACATTAAAAAATATTTACCAAAACTATTTATATTAAACTTATCTTATAAAAAATATAATCAATTTGTATAATAAATTATTTTTTTTTTTTTGCAATGTCATCAATTATAATATACACAAAAAATGCACTTAATATTAAATTATTTGCGCATTCTCACATCCATTGTGTGCATCCTTCCTTAGTTCACACTTAAGTTGCACTTCAAAAAGTCAAATTGCAATTCAAATATAAAAACAAGCTAACTCATGTCAGTGGCTTTCAATTTACCATAATCAGTTTACACTTTTACCGCAAAACCACCCACCCCTTCACACAGTACAGCAACCGACATAAATTGCAATGATTAACACTTTAAAAATACAAATGAGCCCACATAATACCTGTTCAAGTGCCTTCTTTGTAATTGATACAACAACAAGCCGGAACAGAAGGAGAAAAATGAAAGGAGGAATTAAAAAAACACTTTCGTAACATATAAAACTCAAGTAAAAAGGGAATTAAATCCCGCAGAGGTGGAAACCCTAGAAAAATAAAATCACTTAATGTACGTACGTACATAAAATGTGCAAGTATAAAAAAATAAAAAGGTATAAAAAAGTAAGCAATAACAAAATCCGTATTAAGCAAACATTTGTGCATAATTGATTGATTTTGAAATTGATTACTTAAGTATCGACTTACAAGTCTTCGTGTGAGCTTTCAATATAGTGGGTGTTCTTCCGTGCCAGGTCGGAGCAGTCATGCAGCAAGCAAAAAAGTGAGGAGCAAAAAGAATTTTTACTGATTTCGGCTTAAAAAGGGAATTTTTAACTGAAAATACTTTCGTCTTCGTAAATAATTTAACAAGTTTAATTCCTTTCAAGTTTACACTTTTGCTAGCTCTACTTTCAAGCTGTTTTAATGTGTTCCCTAACAATTCTCAATCCAAAAAGGGTATCAAAATTAGTGTTTATTCTTGAAACTTTTTGAGCTTCCAATAAAATAAAATAGACAAATTCTTCTGCTGTGGCAGTGTATCCTTATAAAATGCAATAATAATTTTTAATTTATTAATATCCTTTGTAGTTTTTTCATGTGCTTATTAATTAAATTGATTATTTTCAATTTAAATATTTTGATTTTCATAAGTTATTGGATTGAAGTTTATTTGGAGTATATAAATAGCCTTCGGTTATGAGATTTTAATTAATATATATATTGTTTTTTTGATGAGCGTGTTCACTAATATGCCACAAAGCCGTGGGCTAGTACATTAATTTCATGTAGCTAATTAAAAATAATGCATGTCATTTAATTATGATTATAATGAAACTTTAATTTTTAAAAATATATTTAAATTTAAATAATACTTTTATTTCTTTGTAAAGTAAAAGTGCAGTCACTAAGTAGTTTACTTGTTCCGGTTATTATATGCTTGAAAAGTATCATGATATAAAATTTGGTGTTAATCGCAGTATATTTCATTTAACTCCAAACCCTTCTTGGTGTTTGTTTTTGTCACAAGTGACTTATAAGGCAAAATTTAAAATTCCTTCAAATATCGTACCATAATGCAGTATATTCCATTTTATTTCAAGCCTGACCTTAGGTATTTTTTTGTATCACTTTCAAAGCCACATTCAAAGCAAAATTTGAAACTCATCTTAAGATCATATTATAATGCAGTATATTCCGTATGGCATTGAATCAAGGCACTCGAACATTTCTTTGTTTTCATATACAATATATTATTATCTCTATTTCCCCATTTATAAAAATAAAATGTAGGTTGATTTTATTTTTCATAATCTACACATTATAATTATTAACTTTATAACTCTATTGTAAAGATACTTAGTATATTTTTAATTGTAGATATCATGCTGCAAGAACGTGGTTGTTGTAACAACAGGATCCAAGTTATTACTCAGGTGGACACGACTCGTTATCGAATTTTGGCCAGACGTTACATATCTCTCCAAGAGTTTCTGTTGTGTGTACGCCCTCTCTATTCTCTTACATCAAGTACGGTTCGAGCTTCCTCATCTTGATTGCTCCATTGAAGAAACGTTCTGCTTTTACGTCTTTTGCCTTAAACTATCGTTTCAACCAAGTCACTGGATTTTAATTTGCTGAAGTATATCAATGTCGTGATAATCGTACAGTACTTTTCTCTCGAAAGATCTCACCGCTGGTTCTTCATTTTATGATAACATCCATGCCTTACAGGTAGAATAAGCGATATAAAAAATAGAAGTTTTGTCTGTCGAGAGAGAGTTCTACTTCCCAATTGCCTACTGAGCCTATAGTAGCATCTATTGACAATGGGAATTCTTTGTCTAGTCACCAGGTTAACATCGTTTTTGTTTCCTTCAACAGTACTGTGGTAGATAAAATCTTTGACACATTCAAAAGTATAGTCGCTAGTCACCAGCTCGGTGTCCGACCGACACACATTTTTAACCGTAGCCCGATATATGCTTCGTTTTGTTGGCAAAAGCTGCTATATTATCACGCTTGCTATGCCCAAGAATACCGATGTCGTTAGCGTAAACTAAGAGCTGGACATATTTGTAGATCATTATACCATTACGATGAAAACCTGTATTGCATCTTTCATCACGAAATTAAAAAGGTGCTCACCTGATAAGGGATCACCTTATTCGGATAGAATTGATCCTACTTTAACGGAGCTACGTTCACTACTCAATGTCATTCTACAGAGTCATTTTAATGTTTCTGGAACACCAAGCTCAGATATCGTGACATAAACGTGACCTCTTATGGCGTTATCAAAAATTCTCTTATAATCGATGGCTGTACTACTTGGAATTTCTGTTTTGTGTTGTGAGAAAAAGTTCAGATATTTTCCAAATCAATGAATTCATAAATGGTTATAAATATGATATACTCAATTAAATTGAACTTAATTTAAAAAGTATTATTTTATATAAATATTTTGTAACATCATCATTGTAGAAAATTTACCGAAGTTTTTTAACTAATATATAATTAATACAGTATTAAAATTAATTTAAAATATTGAGTTTAATAGTTTACTTTCAATTACTTTAACAATGGAATTTTTTCCAACTTTAGTATTAAAATTCGAAAATAATGAAACGTAAAGTCGTTAGTTCCATTTTTCTTTTTTTTCTTCCAACCGTCAATGTATATTTCCCTTCCGCTTAGCAATCTCGTTTGTTATTAGAATTTTTTACCATTTTTATTTCGTACGAATTTAAAAGTTCAGTACGTTGATGGATGAAAGTCACTGAGTAAGGATGTGTAGATAAATGTGTGAATAGAATGCGATGCAAAGCAACAGTCATGTACGCTATGGTAATCCATATCAGACATTTACGGGTACTAAATACTAATATACTGTTATTGCTAGATACTATCAAATAGCAACTCCTGAACGTGCTAAGTGTATTTATCCTCACATGAACTGAAAAGAAGGTGATATGCTTTCAACTATAACTTCGATATGCATATCATGAAAGGAGCTCATTACATTATATGTTATAGACTATATGTTATAGTATATAACATATAGAGTTTTATTTCCTTACTACTGATTGTACCGAAATCAAGTGAAGTTGTGAATTGAGCGTTGCAACAATGAAGTGTCAGTTGGAGCAAAGTGATGCATCTTTGTCAGAAGAGTGAAACTTAATTTGTACCAAAAATAGTAAAAATGGTAAAAACCGAGTAACACTAAAATAAAAAATAAAAAATAAAAAACGGAATTCTAAATAAAAAGTGTTATAGTATACACATGTGCTCTAAATGTTTCGTTTCATTGTAATCGATAAGCATACCTCTACTCTTTGCCGTTAAAGAATGTGGAAGAAGTTTCATTTAAAATATTTATTTACTATATGATATGAGTTAGCTTTGATATACTTTGGGTTTTGGCATTTAATTTAGAATATTTACACACACGTTTTGAATGTTCAATTTATTTCGTAAATTAATTTTTAGAAAGCAAAAAAATTTTTTTATATAACATATTTATCAAATAAAATGGTAGTATCTGGTAGTATAAATGGTAGTATAAAATGGAAGATTTTTCTGTATTTTTATTTGAAGATAAATATATAACATAAAAGATAAAATTTTTAACAAACGTCTGATCAAAAACATACTCCTCACCTTCTAATTTTATCTCTCAGTTATTTAGTACATTTCTCCCTTCCTTCTTTGATTAAACTTGTAGGTTTTTAAATTATAAAGGAAATTCATAATGGTAGGGATAAAGATAAAGTTAATGTTAAATGTCTAATTCTTGTAAAAAGATAAGGAAATAATCCTATAAAATTATTAAAAAAGAGTTATTGTAAATGAAGAGATAAAAATGAATAATCCATTTTTTACTGTAGGTCCTAATAGTGTTTGGATTTTTGCCGGATTTTGTACTATTTAACTATCAGTTTTGGTCTCTGCAAAACACTCTTAATGATAAAAAATTGAGCTATCGAAATGCTACCTAATTTCTCTTGGCTAAGTATTTCTATTAACTTAGAAGTTCTATCGAAACCACAGAAGT